GCCACACGGCTGGCCAGCGCCATCTGGAACAGGCGGTGGCACTGCCGCACCTCCCGGAGCCGGTGGAACACCACCCGCAGCTTCCGCTCGCTCAGCACCCGCGGCTCCATCTCCGCCAGCGGCCGCTCATACTGCTGGGGACCGAGAGGGAGGAAAGGGGGCGGGGAAAGCATGGAGAGAGTGTCGGTTACAGGGATTCCAAACATGCCACTCCGCGTATTGTTTGTTTTGTTTATTATTTATTTACTTTTAATCCTCACCCAAGGATATTTTCCCATTGATTTCTAGGGAGAGTGGAAGCGAGAGGGAGAGACAGAGAGAAACATCGATGTGAGAGAAACACATCGATGGGTCGCCTCCTGCATGCACCCGGACCAGGGCCCAGGCGGGGGAGGAGCCTGCAACCCAGGTACATGCCCTTGACTGGAATCGAACCCGGAACCCTTTGGACCACAGGCCGGCGCTCTATCCACTGAGCAAACTGGCCGGGGCTCAACTTATTTTTAGATTAAAAGACGTTATTAACGCGTTCCTACAGGTGGAACCACGGCAGCAGCCTCCAGCGTTTCACTGTCCAGAGCACTTTGTCGGCGGCTGCATCAGAGTTAAAGTTAGACCGAAAGGCCTTTGTGAGCAGGTGGACGGCGAGCGACAGTACCTCCAGGATCCGCGTGAGGGCGTCCACGTAGTTCTTCTCGCTGTCGACAATCGAGCCCAGAATGTACCTCCTGACCACCTGGCGGGGTTGGAGCGACAGCGGCAGGAAGTTACTTCGCGCAGAGAAACGTCACTTCCACCGAGGCGTGTGGATAAGGAGGGCTTTGGTGTTTGGTTTTCAGAACAGCAGGTAAAGGAAACCCCTAAGGCCTCTACAGCATTTTAAACGGCTGCTCGCGAACTAGCGCACGGAGACAAAGCGTGCTGCTCCCGCGCCACAGCGTGTCCGTGTCCAACCCTCACGGTGTAACCCGTAACCACAGGCGGACACGCGGCATCACAGCACTAGCAGGTGCACCGTGGCCAACGGCAGTAACTGTCAGGCACGCACGTGCCCGACTCTGAGTTACACGTTTCACGTGGAATCGACTATGAGGAACAGCTCATCCTGACGCAAAGGAGCTACTGGCAACCCTGCCTAATAAACCCTGTTCCCAAACGACAGAGACACGGAACCCTGGAAGGTGGGGGACCTTGTTTTGCGAAGATCTCTGACCACGCCAAGAGGCACCTCGGGGTGGGGACACGGGCCGCGTCGCCAGCCTGCTCCAGGCGTGGAGCTCGCTGCGGCCTGAGACGCCTGCCTTTTAAACGCTGACACCATCGTCTGGTTCAGGTTTCAGCACTGAGGTGCGCATGAGCACACGTCTGGCTCTACGATGCCTGTTACAGGCCAGCGACCGCACTCGGCGCTGGCAGCAGCCTCAACGCCGTTTGGCAAGTTATTTTTGCCAATAAACGGAAAACAGCATAAAGTCACAATCAGGCTAAAGTCACGCACAGGCACACACATGCACAGACACTGCACACACACGCACAGGCACACACAGGCACACATGGGCACAAGCACACACTTGCCCAAGAAGCACAGAGGCTCCGGGAGGCAGAGACGGTGCCTCGCTCTGTGTTTCTCTCCGAGTCCACACGTCCGGCCGCCAGGACAGGGCAGCCCACGGGGCAGCACGAGGTCCCAGCTCCTGGAATGCCCTGGGCCGAGGGCCGTGCACATAGATCTGAGGTCCTATTGCCCAAGAAGCACAGAGGCTCCGGGAGGCAGAGACGATGCCTCGCTCTGTGTTTCTCTGAGTCCACATGTCCGGCCCCAGGATGGAAGCCACAGCCTCAGGGACACCCGGTGGGACCATCACTTAGAGAAGGGGCACGCTCACCTTCATCACGTTTAAAACAAAGAGGACTGTTTCTGCAAGTCGACCTTTGAACCAGGAGGTCGGGGTTCAATGCCCGGTCGGGTCGGTCAGGGCGCAGGAGCCGGCAGGACGCTCCCACACCAGCACTCATGGGAGGAGCCTCCAGCAGGGGGTGTGCAGGAGGCAGCCCGTCAATGATTCTCTCCCTCTCCCTTCCTCTCTGAAATCAATAAAAACATATCTTCTTTAAAAGGACTGTTTCCATTCAAAAGTCTGATCCAGGTAAATATTGTAGGAAGGGGCTGGAGATAAAGTGGAGGCAACGACGGAGGAAATGTCCGATGTTTCTGTTTCCATGACAATAGCTGCAGGGGCTGCACGCAGATCCCCCCCACGAGCTCGGTGCCTCCTGCTGCCCCAGAGGAAGGAGAGGTGTCACATGGCAGTCACAGCGCCCACGCAAGTCCACGGGCACGGGCCGTGCAGCTGCGCCCTTCGCCGGCGCCCTTGGTCCGCGCCATCCAGCCATCCATCGATGACGCTCTGTTACCCGCAGGCTCCTGCGCCTGAAGGGAAGCTCGTGGGTCCCAAGGCGTCGAAGTCGGGAACGGACCGAGGACAGAGGCTCAAAGGCCTGACACTACCTCGGGCTGCGGCGTCCGGGCAGCTGGCTGAGGGCCACACGGCTGGCCAGCGCCATCTGGAACAGGCGGTGGCACTGCCGCACCTCCCGGAGCCGGTGGAACACCACCCGCAGCTTCCGCTCGCTCAGCACCCGCGGCTCCATCTCCGCCAGCGGCCGCTCATACTGCTGGGGACCGAGAGGGAGGAAAGGGGGCGGGGAAAGCATGGAGAGAGTGTCGGTTACAGGGATTCCAAACATGCCACTCCGCGTATTGTTTGTTTTGTTTATTATTTATTTACTTTTAATCCTCACCCAAGGATATTTTCCCATTGATTTCTAGGGAGAGTGGAAGCGAGAGGGAGAGACAGAGAGAAACATCGATGTGAGAGAAACACATCGATGGGTCGCCTCCTGCATGCACCCGGACCAGGGCCCAGGCGGGGGAGGAGCCTGCAACCCAGGTACATGCCCTTGACTGGAATCGAACCCGGAACCCTTTGGACCACAGGCCGGCGCTCTATCCACTGAGCAAACTGGCCGGGGCTCAACTTATTTTTAGATTAAAAGACGTTATTAACGCGTTCCTACAGGTGGAACCACGGCAGCAGCCTCCAGCGTTTCACTGTCCAGAGCACTTTGTCGGCGGCTGCGTCAGAGTTAAAGTTAGACCGAAAGGCCTTTGTGAGCAGGTGGACGGCGAGCGACAGTACCTCCAGGATCCGCGTGAGGGCGTCCACGTAGTTCTTCTCGCTGTCGACAATCGAGCCCAGAATGTACCTCCTGACCACCTGGCGGGGTTGGAGCGACAGCGGCAGGAAGTTACTTCGCGCAGAGAAACGTCACTTCCACCGAGGCGTGTGGATAAGGAGGGCTTTGGTGTTTGGTTTTCAGAACAGCAGGTAAAGGAAACCCCTAAGGCCTCTACAGCATTTTAAACGGCTGCTCGCGAACTAGCGCACGGAGACAAAGCGTGCTGCTCCCGCGCCACAGCGTGTCCGTGTCCAACCCTCACGGTGTAACCCGTAACCACAGGCGGACACGCGGCATCACAGCACTAGCAGGTGCACCGTGGCCAACGGCAGTAACTGTCAGGCACGCACGTGCCCGACTCTGAGTTACACGTTTCACGTGGAATCGACTATGAGGAACAGCTCATCCTGACGCAAAGGAGCTACTGGCAACCCTGCCTAATAAACCCTGTTCCCAAACGACAGAGACACGGAACCCTGGAAGGTGGGGGACCTTGTTTTGCGAAGATCTCTGACCACGCCAAGAGGCACCTCGGGGTGGGGACACGGGCCGCGTCGCCAGCCTGCTCCAGGCGTGGAGCTCGCTGCGGCCTGAGACGCCTGCCTTTTAAACGCTGACACCATCGTCTGGTTCAGGTTTCAGCACTGAGGTGCGCATGAGCACACGTCTGGCTCTACGATGCCTGTTACAGGCCAGCGACCGCACTCGGCGCTGGCAGCAGCCTCAACGCCGTTTGGCAAGTTATTTTTGCCAATAAACGGAAAACAGCATAAAGTCACAATCAGGCTAAAGTCACGCACAGGCACACACATGCACAGACACTGCACACACACGCACAGGCACACACAGGCACACATGGGCACAAGCACACACGGGCACAGGCACACACATGCACACACATAGGCACACACATGCACATGCACACACACGGGAACACACATGCAGAGCCACACACGCACACACACACACATGCACACACAGGCACACACAGATACACACAGGCAGAGGCACACATGGGCACAGGCACACACACAGGCACACACATACACACGCACAGGCACACACATGCACACACAATCACATGCCCACCCCCAGCCAACCCAGGGAGTGCACGCCCCTCGCAGAGGCCATGGCGCCACCTGGCGGCCGGGACAGCGTCTCCCACAGGAAGTACCTCAGCTAACAGGCTGGGGCCACTGGGAAAACACACCTTTATTGACAAGGGAGCGGATTTTCCTTGACAGAGAAGACTATTCGATTCACAAAATTAAGACCAAAATCCACCCTTCTGAATATTTAAGGGAGAAAGTGATGCTGTGAAGAGAGGACGGCTGTGCCGGGATTAAAACCCAAGCACACAAGCCGGCCAGCCCCGGCCACCCTCCCCGGTGGCCCCCATCAGCCTGGCGGGGTCACGGGCCGACCCTCAGAATGGGAGTTAGACCCCACGTCCGAGTCACCCCCCAAACGGGCAGAGGGTCAAGCCGAGGCCAGACTTCCCCACGGTCACATCACAGACCGGCCTCCCCTCGGAGGGAGACCACTCGGGGTCTGACCTAGGAATTAATTCTATTGCTTTTCTAAAGTCCTGAGATGACCCTCCTGTATCGGGACAGAGGACCTGGAATTGGTACAAGACAAGTTAATAAAAATACAAGAATGAAACCAAAGAAACCTCCCGCAGGCGTGACACCCACACGCTGCCTCTCGGTGAAACCGCGACCTTCGAACCGGAAGTAACTCCCCCAGGCGTGTGCACTCTGCCCCTGAGGCTCTCAGAGTCACACGGGGTGAGACTCAACATCCTCAGGACCGGGATGTCCGAGCCCAGCTCCTGGCCGCCCAGGTCCCGGACGCCCCTGCTGGGTAACCCTCCACCTGCCGGGCCGGAGGAGCGGGAGGAGCCGGAGGAGCGGGAGGAGCGGGAGGGCCGGGAGCTGGGACAGCAGGTGCCCCAGGCAGCGTGGGAACATCCAGACACAGCACGGCCCTGAGCCTCACAGGGAAGCGGCACCGAGCACCTGCCCGGCGTCCTACCTGCTGCTGGGACAGCCCCTCCGGCATCGGGGTGAGCACGGCCTCGGGGTGCCGGCAGTCCACGTCGATGAACACGCTCTGCTCCTCCTCGAGGCCCGGCCTGGGATCTAAGGAGTCAGGACGCGCGGGTGTGACACGGAGACCGCGTCCCCCGACACCGCGGTGCAGCCAATCGCTGTCGACCGAGACTCTGAGCACGGTCTGCGGTTCCCGTCCACCCCCCAGCGATGACCCAGGCGACACGTCCACACCCGCGGACACTCCCTTCCCACAGGGAATGTTCAGTGCCTGGAGTCCACCCTCCAAGGGCAGAGGTGGCCTTTGAGTGCCTGATGGTGCGCTAGAAATGGCCAGCGCCATCTGGAACAGGCGGTGGCACTGCCGCACCTCCCGGAGCCGGTGGAACACCACCCGCAGCTTCCGCTCGCTCAGCACCCGCGGCTCCATCTCCGCCAGCGGCCGCTCATACTGCTGGGGACCGAGAGGGAGGAAAGGGGGCGGGGAAAGCATGGAGAGAGTGTCGGTTACAGGGATTCCAAACATGCCACTCCGCGTATTGTTTGTTTTGTTTATTATTTATTTACTTTTAATCCTCACCCAAGGATATTTTCCCATTGATTTCTAGGGAGAGTGGAAGCGAGAGGGAGAGACAGAGAGAAACATCGATGTGAGAGAAACACATCGATGGGTCGCCTCCTGCATGCACCCGGACCAGGGCCCAGGCGAGCGCAGCGGCGGTGGAGGCAGCCTCTCCCGCCTCCTCAGCAGCACTAAGGATGTCCATGGGCTCCAGAACCCGAGCGGGCGCAGGCCGGGCTGAGGGACCCCTCCTCTAGACACTGCACACACACGCACAGGCACACACAGGCACACATGGGCACAAGCACACACGGGCACAGGCACACACATGCACACACATAGGCACACATGCACATGCACACACACGGGAACACACATGCAGAGCCACACACGCACACACACACACATGCACACACAGGCACACACAGATACACACAGGCAGAGGCACACATGGGCACAGGCACACACGGGCAACTTCCTCTCTCTCTAAAATAAAATAAATAAAAACAGATCCTCGGATGAGGATTAAAAAAATAACAAAAATAAAATATCACACCCAGAAACAAAGAACGGCCGCGGAGACGCCTGAGGGCCACACCGCTGGCCAGGACGCTCGGGGCTCCCTCGGCTCCCTGACCGCCTGCCCGTCCGAAAAAGCAGACAGTTTACGCCAAAATTAAATTCTTCTTTACAAACATAATAAAGCGAAATAAACGAAGGACTCCCCCAAAGGGCCGGAAGCCAGAAAAGCACCGGGCGTGGCCCGCACCCCAGCCCTGAGCCCTGGGCCCGGGGCCCTGGAGGTCTGGGGGGACGTCATGAGGGAGAGCAGGGGAGGAAGGCCCTCGGGTGGGGGCACCGATGGCCCAGGGCTGAGAGGGGACAATGAAGAGGGTGAAGGCCCCTCCCCAGGAGCTCACTCACTTCCTGTGGTTTGTGGAGTGCCTGTGAGCAGGGCCCTCGGCTCAGAGCCCCGCCCTCAGCCCCACAAGCCCCCCAGGAGGGAGCGCAGGCTGAGCGGAGCCCAAGGGTGAGCAGGCGCCAGGGGAGCAGGCCCCAGGGTGGGGGAGTAGGCCCTGGGATGAGGGAAGCAGGCCCCAAGGGAGCAGAGCCTGAGGGTGAGCAGGCC